GATCTTCTTGCCTCAGCCTCCGGAGTAGCTGGGACTACAGGTGTGAGCCATGGCGCCTGGCCTCTTTTTTTGTTTCTTAGAGAGAAAGTCTTGCTCTGTCAACTAGGTTGGAGAGCAGTGTCACGAACAGAGCTCACAGCAACCTCAAACTCCTGGGCTCAAGCCATCCTCCTGCCTCAGCCTCCCGAGTAGCTGGGATTACAGGCATGTGCCACCACACCCGGCTAATTTTTTAATTTTTTGTAGTGATGGGGTCTCACTATGTTGTCTAGGCTAGTCTCAAAATTCCTGGCCTCAAGCAATCCTGCTGCCTTAGCTTCCCAAAGTGCTGGAATCATAGGTATGAGCCAGTGCACCTGGCCTGAGGCTTGACTTTCTTTAATAAAGTCTGATTGAAATTACTAGAAGCTAAGATTCATGACATATAATCAATATGCTTAAAATTATTTAATTTAGTTTATAACATGGTCATCCTAGCTTTTGGGGAGAAGCTTTTAGGGATTATGGCAAGGAGACTCAGCAAGTACAGTGCCTTTAACATTATAAACATAACCTTTAAAGCATTTACCTATATGGTTGAAGTGAAGAACTGAATAATTCCTGAGCCTGGGAAACAGCAGGCCCAGCCCCCAAACTCAGTTGGGCTTGATGCTGCCCTTGCAGTGGTGCATAAATAGGGATTGGAATCTGCTGAACTGAAGTTGGCTGCAATGCAATGGAAAAAACAACAACAACAAAAAACATGGATATAAACATATAATATATGAACATCATACATGCAAATCACAATACTTTGGAAAACACAACTTTGAGACATGAAAAAAATAAACTTTCCTTTCAATACATTATTCTATATTGTTAATCATTAAGCTTAGGAAATTTTACAATTTTGCTAATAACATATCAAGGTAATCATGAGTTGCTTATAACTTTAGAGAGTCGATCATTTATAGTCCAAAATAACTATTACAAGCATTAAAATGCAAAAGAATCCTTACAGGATGGAAGGAGGCTTCAGTATTTACCTGAGAGAGACCTGGCTGGAAGCCTTGTTGCTGAGCCAAGGATGGTGGAGCCAATCGTGCGTGTTGGGTATTGAATAAATGACTTGTGTCCATATAGAAAGCTGGAATTTGAGCTATAGACCACCAGGAAAAACAAGCAGGAATAATTGTACAAATTTCAGATTTTTCCAAATAGTAAATAAAAACTATGTTTTTGTGGCAGATTTCAAATTAAGCAAGCCCTCTGAAAATTAACATAGCCGTGGAAAAACTAGAACTGCGAAAATATGCAAATGTAAAAAGATGCAAAACTTCTACTAGATAGGTATACGCAAATAGTAAATATAACTAGTACTTGTGAAGGTACAAAAAAATACGCACTCTCATATACTGTCAATGGGGTATAGGCACTCTCATATTTTGCCAATGGTAAAATTTCACATTATCTACTAAAACTAAAAATGAATCTGCCCATTGAACCAGCAACTCCATTCCAATTTTAAATCTACCTACTAGAATTTAGCAAAATATTCCAAAAGAATTGACATTTAATAATTAAAAGAGTTTGGTACAGATTCTTAACGCATTTCTTTTCTATCTATGATATATACTATTTTGTGACTTGCTGTTTTTTTATATTAAAATATAAATTTACATATATTTATATTTTATACATTTATAATACTTATATTAAAATATAAATTATAAAATTATATTTCATAAATATAAAACATATAGTCAAATGCACAAATTATATAGTAGTATGTTCTGGAGAATTCCACATATTGCTTTTAATTAGTCACTATTATAAACAATACTGCAATGAATACCCTTACACATATATCTCAAATAGGCTAAGTTTATCCATGAGATTCCTAGCTCTGAAAGTGTTACACAGTATACACTCGCACATTTTCTAAGATACTTCTTAAAAGAATTATGCCAATTGACGTACTTAAAGCAATTACCTTAAGAGCTTATTATTAATAATACTTGGTATCTTTATAGATACTAGGTACTAACAGATGCTAAAGTATTATCAATTTATCTATGAAAGGCAAGAAATAGATTCATTGTTCTTTTATTAGGAATTTAAATCCTTGGTGAATTTTAATATTTTTCAAACATTTCAGATTAATGTTGTGATATCCAGGACAACCTACTCCACCCTCAAATAATTTTTTTGTTTTTGCATTTTACTCTTCCCCCAAAACTTTATTATCAACTGTCAAATTTCAAATAAAATATTCTGGAATTTGACTAGAACAGTATCAAATGCACAAATTATTTTGCCTATTATTAGATACTAATTTGTCTTATATAGGTAAGAAACAATTGTCAATAATACGAAGGCTGATATCCCCAGAATTCTTGTCGTGGAGAGAAAGAATTCAACTCTATAAAGGAACATATTTGCAAAGCAGATCAAAAAATATTTAAACTTGAAAGGGTAACTAAGAATAGAAAAGAGTATTTTAAAAAGTCTTCATTTTCTGAATGTCTTACATTCAATGCTAAAAATATTACCTGCGGCAGACTGAGACACATAAACTTGTGGGCTCTGTTGTTGCTGGGCAATAAGGGAAGGCATACAGCTTAACTGTGAAAAATGACTTGCAGAAGGCAGGCTGCTTGTCTGTAATTGTTGAGGTTTCACTTTACAAATATTAGGAGGGTCTGATGTGGTCGTGGATTTTGTACTCAAAGAAGAGGTAGTATATGTACCAGCTCCTATATTGGGGGGAGAGATAAAGGGGAAAAACCAGCATATTTAAAAGTGCTGTTGTTCACAGTACTAATCGGAAACTGGAAAATTAATACCCATCATGTACTTCTATACTGCTTCATGCCAAAAGTGGATATGGAGGCGGCTTACAAAAGAAAAGAACACTTATCATCAAATGCAAACAAGACTATAAAATCTGAAAAAAATATAACCAACAGAAAATTAAAATGAGGAAGAAACAAAACACAAAACTCATAAAATAAGGCTGAGCGTCTACATGGCTATTATAGTTTAGCCCGAAATTACTATTTGGCTTTTAATCATCGCAAAGGAAAAAAAAGATACACAATCATGAAGCTTCATTCCCTATGACCAGGCATAGATACTAGGACATACAATGTGTTGTACCTTAGGAATAATTATGAATATAAATGGGCCTTGAGATATCTTAATTGCTTCTAAAGTCATATAAACTTAAACTTTAGGTTTGATTTCTCTCCCTGCCCTGCTCCCCCTGCCCAAACTGATATATAGTAATACTTTAAATACAAATGAAGACAAACTACTGAATGAATAAATGGAACTACAGAAACTTAGGTTTGAAGGGTCAGTTAGTTCTGTTGATCAGTGAGCTATAATGACTGTAATACTGGAACAAAATGACAATACTGGTATTTGATTAAAAAGGAAGACGTGGTTATCATTATCTTCAGACTTCATAATGTTTCTGTTTTTCCAGCTGAGTCTCTACCAGTAGGATGATTGGAAAGAAGGTACTTGTTTAAAAATTATCCTAGTCAAGGGGAGTGGAGGCATTCCAGACCTGGGGAAAGGAGGCAGATGAGTTCCACAGAAAGAGCTAGCAACATTCCTAGTCCCTTTATTTCTGAATCTTCCTACCACACTCTCCTTTTGTTTCCTTCGCAACACCGCCCACCCCACCCAAGTAGCCTGGGCCCCAAGCTACTTTAGTAGGCATCAGTGAAGACACTTTGGCAAACGGGTGGTGGGGAATGCTTGAAAGGCTTTTAAAGAGGGAAGAGATGTGGAATACAGTTGGGATTTGGAATTTTAATGCGGTGTATAATCTCTGGGTTTCTCTTAATGCATACTTCTAATTACAGATGACATAAAAAAACTGTTCTACAATCCAAAGACAGGTATTTTTTTGTACCTAAAACTCGCACAGTAGGCAATAATATTGAAAAACAATATTGAATATGAACCAGTGAAAAATAGTCAATTCTACGCTGAATATATTTCATATCTATTGAAAAGGAGCTCCCCACCGCTTTGGAAAGAGCTGAGAATACTGAGAAAACTTGAAATTTCTTTTTCAACAGAAGAAACACAGTTCCACATATGGTAAGGCGTCCACTTTTTCAGAGTCAAGCATTTTAGAAACATCTTCTGTGTTTAAGAACTATAAAGTCTCCAAATGAGATAGCTCAATGAAAAGATTACACACTAGTAAAAATTTAAGAAAATATAAGAAAGCAAGAAAAGTACCTTCTAATTTTGGGCGCTGATGGACTCTTCTTAAATGAAGCAAAACAAAATCAAAAACGAAAAACCAAACCAAACTAAAGCCAACTGAATGGATTCATCACTCAGAAAGCAGAGGCTAAGAATTCTCTAACTCTAAGGCTTCACCAGAAAATATTCAAGTTACTCCAATAGGTTTACGTAAACACCTCCTTCAAATTAGATAGATCGCAGAACACTGAAAAGCAGTCTGATTCTATGTTATTTCTAAGCTGATCTAGTTAGCTATCTACATACAGGTATAAATGATAATCAGAAGGTGAACTTCACAGAAAAATTTAGAGGAAAATGACATTTTTCTACCAATTACCCTAGTATCTGTAACGGGAAGGCTTACCAAAATCTGTGTTGGTAAGCTATAAATATGTGCCAAACTAGCTAAAACTGGGAGAGGGGAAAGGGGGGAGGAGGTAAGAGTAGCAAGAAGTTCTATAAAATAGCTGACAACTATCTCATGCACAATCTGACATTTTTTGTAAAAATACTTTTTTGGGGGGGCGGGCGGGAGATAGTGAATAGGACAAAATCATAAGACATACTAAATAATACAAGATATTTAAAGAAAAGTACAAAAAAGTTCTACCTGACAGTGACGTTGTAGGAGTGACTGAGGCGACAGGAATCTGAGGCATAGACGCACTTGAGAACGAGTTGTAACTGGCGGTGCTGGGTCCGCTGGCACTACTGCTGACTCCACCTGCGACTGGAGGTGCTGTGGAAGTCACGGGAGACCCCTTCTCCCTGACATTCGGAGAATTCTCCCATGCCTTGCGTGCAGACTCCATCTGCAATAAAATGGACATTTTTACAGCAAAAAAATGATGTTAATACAGAATACACACACATATATGTATGTACATATATGTGTCAATAGTTAAATTCTAAATAAAATCTTTCAAAAATGACAAAAATAAAACATTAAGACCCTAGAGATTTCATATCTTTTTTTCCTGTTTTTTTCTTTTATTTATTTTTTTCCCCAAGAATCACGGGTGGTTGGATCAAATCTTTCACTTGCCCTTTTAATCTTTGCTCCTTTACTCAAATTGGGGACAGTGGGATTTAACTGTGTTTATACAGAGAACCAATTGATGGCTTTAGGAAACAGGTCAGTGAACTACAGAGTCACAGCTCCTGTATCATTTAAACATGAACCCCTATCTCTACCAGCAAATAAGGAAAGGAAATACCATGCCTCTTCAGGGCTAACTTAAGGTTCTACCTCTAGTAGGCAAGGCCCTAAGTAAATACTCATTCTCTTCATTCATTCTTTTTAAGTCAATGCTTCTCAGACAGAAGATAGCAGGCACCTTTTGGTCAGTTGTTTCATGCTTTCATGCTTCATTGTTTTAAAAGGCAATGAAACTAGATAGGTTTTAGACTTGGGTGCAATAGAAACACTTTTAGTTTCACACCCAGACCTCATCAAGCATTTCATGTACTAGCTGCAGTCATTGGCATTTGTGGCCCCTGGTTTTAGCTGTAGTCTCTTAGTTTCTTAAAAGGCAAAAACTGCTTATTTCAATCTACCTAGAGCAGTACTATTCAGCAATGTTCACCTGATATGTATGTAAATGCAAGCCATATATATAATTTTAAGTTTTCTAGTAGTAAAAAGTAAAAAGAAAGAGGTGGTATTAAATTTGATAACATGTAACTCAACCCAATATCTACAATATTATAACTGAAACCATATCAACATAAAATTAAGATGCTTTATATTATTTTTTAATATGAAAATTTCAGATGAAGCATTTATTTTATTTTACACTTACAATGCCTCAATTTGGATTAGTCGCATTTAAAAGGGCTTAACAGTAGATTTTGAATCTGAGAGGACAGATGTAGATTTTCAAGTATTAGGTTGGTGCAAAAGTAGCGGCGGTAGCGTTGTTGACATCTGCCGTTTGATACTGGAATACACTCGTAAATGTGGTTATGTTCTATATCATTTCAATGTGCATTTCTCACTTTATGTTTTTTGCCATTGACATTACTTGCTGTTTGTTTTATATTTATTTTAGACTATGAAATGATGTTAAACAAAAAGCAAATTTGAGTGATTTTCCTATTCAACTTCAAAATGAAAGCAGTGGAGACAACTCAACATCAACAATGCATTTGGCGCAGGAACTGCTAATGAAGGTACAGAGCAGTGGTGGTTCAAGAAGCTTTGCAAAGGAAACGAGAGCCTCGAAGATGAGGAGTGCAGTGGCTGGTCATCGGAAGTTGACAACCAACTAAGAGCAATCATTGAAGCTGATCCTCTAAAACTACACAAGAAGTTGCTGAAGAACTCAATGTCAACCATTCTATGGTCATTTGGCATTTGAAGCAAATTGGAAAGGTGAAAAGGCTTGACAGAGTGGTTTCTCATGAGCTGATCAAAAATCAAAAAAATCGTCATTTTTAAGTGTTGTCTTCTCTTCCTGTATGCAACAACAACGAACCATTTCTTGATCGGATTGTGACATGTGACGAAAAGTGGATTTTATATAACTGGTGACAACCAGCTCAGTGACTGGACCGAGAAGAAGCTCCAAAGCCCTTCCCAAAGCCAAACTCACACCAAAAAAAGGTCATGGTCACTGTTCGGTGGTCTGCTGCCGGTCTGATCCATTACAGCTTTCTGAATACTGGCAAAACCATTACATCTGAGACGTGTGCTCAGCAAATTGATGAGATGCACCAAAAACTGCAGCGCCTGCTGGCGGCATCAATTGGTCCACAGAAAGAGCCCAGTTCTTCACCACAACAACACCCGACTGCACCCTCGCACAACCAACACGTCCAGAGTTGAATGAATTGGGCTACGAAGTTTTGCCTCATTTGCCACATTCACCTGACCCCTTGTCAATCAACTACCAGTTCTTCAAGCATCCTGACAACTTTTTGCAGGAAAAATGCTTCCACAACCAGCAGGATGCAGAAAGTGTTTTTCAAGAGTTTGCTGAATCCCAAAAAACGGATTTTTATCCTACAGGAATAAACAAACTTATTTCTCCTTGGCAAAAATGTGTTGATTATAATGGTTCCTATTTTGATTAATAAAGATGTGTTTGAGCCTAATTACAATGATTTAAAATTCACGGTCTGAAACTGCAATTACTTTTGCACCAACCTAGTACTTGCGACTACTTTAACAAGAGGAGAACAGACGCACAGTTTTGAGATTTTCAGGACTACCAGTCAAAATACTGAACTGAGAGGAAAAACCAAGATAATCTATAAGATCAGTTTTGATGACTTACATGGGGGAACTTCTTACAAGTAACATTTTTATACCATTGTTAGGAAGTTTGTGGGTCCTTGAAGTACCAATTTCTAAAATTTTAATTTATAGTTACTTACTGTACTTTTACCCTACCTTCCTTTAAAAATGCATACCGCTCATAATTTAACCTTTTCTTAATGACTGTCATCATTATACATTCAAAACAGCGTATTTTTATGTTTAAGACAAGTATTTTCTTTTTCTGACAATCAACTTGTTGATTTCAAACGTGTTTTATTTTAAAATAAAATTCTTGGGAAGAACTTAGGAAGTTAGCCATAATGCAATTTCCTTGTACCATCTAAGAGTTCGTGGTTTTGAGCAATTTGATAGAGTACAATGTCTTTCACACCAGTTTTGTTGTGTTGAGGACACATTAATTATTAAATTATACCTAATAAATCTTGCATAACGTATAGGCCATATGTATTTCATTAATGTAATTTAATCTGAATTTATTTTATTTCTAAATATATATGTTGTTTCTTCTTGGAATGTTAAGAAGACGAGTGAAAGGCAAAGTCGAATAGTATTCTGAAGAAGTAACAACTGGCTTAAAAAATAATTTGCTTACATGAAATTCGATTATTGCCCTCAATAGTATAATGATAAAAAGCATATAAATAAGACAAAGTAAAGGAATACATATTGAGACAGTCATTCAAGTGGCAAGACAACAGCAAAGGCTGAGCAGAAATTGGCAGTAAACAGTAAGGATGGGGTAAAGACAGGGGTAACACAAAGCAGAGGTTTATCATGAAATTTTATGGTCTCAAACTTGTATTTGTTAAGCCTCTTACAAAGAAGTCTGGGGTGGTGGGTCAAGGGACAAGTGGTCACGAGGCTGGGAACTCAATTAGAAAGGGTCCAGAAATGAACATTGGCCACATCGTAAAACATCTTAGTTTCTGCCCCACCCTCCTGAAGACCACCAAAGAGATTCACTGTCAACCAGTGCAATGTTAGGCAGCCCTGCTATAATAGAGGTTAAGGACTTGCCTAGATTTCTGAACAAAAAACACCAATGAGATAAATAAATGGACTTTAAAAAATCCTCACTTAATTCCATGTTTGCATTTTTTTAACCACTGACTAATCTAATCCCGAGGTGAACAATGGATTTAAAATACTTTCAAATAACACAACTATAAAAAAGCTCTAACATGGCTCAAAATTATAAACATAATAGGAGATTAAAAATAAGCCAAAACTTCTTGACAATAAAAAGCACTAAAATCTCTTTCACCCCATTATTTTAAAATAAGTACTGAACTGGCTGGCACAGTGGCTCACACGTGTAATCGTTTGAGATCAGGAATTTGAGACCAGCCCAGGCAATATAGTGAGACCCTCGTCTCCACAAAAATAAGAAAATTAGCTGGGCATGGTGGCAAGTGCCTGTAGTACCAACTACTCAGGAGGCTGAGGCAGGAGGATTGTTTGAGCCCAGGAGTTTGAGGGTGCTGTGAGTGAGGATGACACCACTGTACTCTAGAGCCTGGGTAACAGTGCAAGACCCTGTCTCAACAAGAAAATATCCAACAAAAATCAACTAAAAATTTCGTGATGTTAATTATGAAGCACACTTGTACTAATCAATTTCCTTCTCATAAAGGAAATTGATCACTACACTGCATTCATTCAATTCACATATGACTTATAAGAAAGACAGAAAACCATGATAATCAGTATGTAGGATTCAGGTAACAAATCATAAAAAGAGTAGAAGACCAAGTTAGTATTTTTTGTACACAACTGAATATCCAAAAATTATTAAGATCTCTAAGAGGAACTTATCACAAACATAGAACATAAATGCTCTCCTGTGTTTTTAAGACAGTATTCGCAAGCATAAGCCTTACTTGATATAAGGATATCAAGTCACTGCTAAGCGGTATTAGAAGTTAATGAAAATTTAAAATATAATTTGACATCACTCTATTTCCTCAGCCTCATATTGTTGCTTATCACATAAAACTAGTAAAAATGCCAAAAGAATATTGTTAGCTTGCGTCCCCTTGCATGCAGTAATTAAGGACCCTTAGAGATGGATGTCGTACATACCTTGAAGGTGAGGCTGAAAGTAGTGGGAGGAACTGAAGTTAGGCTGGAGCTCTGTTGTATAGTCTCCCTCTTAGGGAGGGGAAGGGTGTTGGGCAGGGGCACCTGAAAAGGCAGGCAACACATATCACAATCTAACTAAGTCTGCTATAAAAGCTCCACTAAAGATAACGCTAAAGTATTCTAACGGTGGTGTTTATTTTTATCAGAGCCAACAGGAATATCTGATTACTTGAGAGTTACACTGTGCTTACAGTAGTTAATAATTATGGATAGCTTAGAGAAAACTTCTGAATAGAAATACTATTTGCCTTTTCATTTATGAATTAGCAGAAAGTCTGCACCAAATATTAATAGATGGTGTATACTCAGATGGCAGTGCTTCTCGTATTTTAATATGTACATGAATCACCTGGGGATGCTGTTAAAATGCAGATTCTGATTCAGCTGGTCTGGGTTAAGGCCTGAAATTTTATATTTCAAATAAGTTCCCAGATGCTGCTGATGCTGCTGGTCCATGGGCCACACTTTGTACAGTAAAACTCTAAGGAATGTAACTTTCACCATATATGAGGGACCTGTAGGTTCTATCAGAAGTATTTAACATCACCATGAAAATATAAGAATTAATTTGCTTCCTGCAATATAGTCAACTGTTTTATAACTAGATTCAAGAACAAAAATAATTTTGGGAGGAAAGTATGAACTAATAGGCCCACCTCCTTACACTAAACAAATTATTTTGATACAGTAATAGAGTAATCATGGCAATATTGTTAGAAATTTGGAGACATTAGAAACTCACTGCCTTTCTCATTTTTTTCCCTCTACGTCTCTGGGTCTTGGAATTTTATTATGTATGACTACATGTTTGCTTTTGATGGTTCACTCAGTTGTTTAGATAAAATTACTTAGATGCTTGGGAGTTTTTTTTTTTGAGACAGAGTCTTGCTCTGTTGCCTGGGCTAGAGTGCTGTGGCATCAGCTTAGCTCACAGCAACCTCAAACTCCTGGGCTCAACCGATCCTTCTGCCTCAGCCTCCCGAGTAGCTGAGACTACAGGCATGCGCCACCATGCCCGGCTAATTTTTTCTATATATTTTTAGTTGTCCGATTAATTTCTTTCTATTTTTTTTTAGTAGAGACAGGGTCTTGCTCTTGCTCAGGCTGGTCTCGAACTGCTGACCTCGAGAGATCCGCCTGCCTTGGCCTCCCAGAGTGCTAGGATTACAGGCGTGAGCCACCACGCCCGGCCCTTGGCAGTTTTAAGATAATCATTTTGTGATACTACGGACTACCTGATGGAGATTTCTAATACCAGAGACTACTTAATGAAGATTGTTTTTGTAAATCTTGAAAGTAGCTATGCCAGAATAATAAAAAATGCCACCTGCATTCAAATCTTCAACACATTCAAGATACAAAATGATTATAACATTCGGTAATACTAACCAATAAGTATCAGTTGAAGGTTATAAAAAAGTATACTAAGCCTCAATAAGAAATGTCATTTTCAAGTATAACTTTTTAAAAAGGCAAAAGTTGTATGTATAAAATGGAACCCCCAAATAGACTAAACGAAAGATAAAAGGACATTTCAAAATGTTCTAAAAATATCCCTATGTAGGACATTTGTTTTTAACACTACATTAACTTCAGAGTCACCACCACACATGGCGCAAGTAAGCAACAATGTAAAATCATTCCAAACTGATGACTGTTTATAACGCTCACTGACCCAAATTAATCTTTCTGCTTTCAAATATACACTGGGTACACTGCCGTGAGACTGGTCTCTTCCCTACAGCAGTTATCAGTGTACAAGTCACTAAACTAATTGGCCCTATAGATCACACAGAAGCCATTAAAATGCTTATCTGGATATTTTCAATAACTTAAGGGTTCTGAGAATAGTGGTTTTTTCTCCTTATTTATATTTTATAAGTGATATTGTCAGAGGGTAGCTTGGCAGAAAGTATCATATACTTTCTTGAAAAAGTAATATTTTAGAAATATTCCACACATTTTTAAGGTGAGAAAAGAAACCACAATTAAAGTATAATAAAACTTTACTGATGGAATATTTGAAAATCTAGATAGTGACGTTAGGGGCAAAAAAAGGCTTTTTCTCCAAGTTTTCCATTATTTCTTACAGGAAGAAAAATAAAAACAGAAACAAAAAACCCAAGAAACCAAAAAAGACAAAGCAAACCGGCCAGGTATGGTGGCTCACACCCGTAATCCCAGTACTCTGGGAGGCCGAGGTGAGAGGATCTCTTGAGGTCGGAGTTTGAGACCAACCTAAGCAAAAGACCCTGTTTTCTCCCCAAAATAGAAAAAATTAGCCAGGCGTGGTGGCACACACCTGTAGTTCCAGATACTTGGGAGGCTGAGGCAGGAGGATTGTCTGAGCCCAGGAGTTTGAGGTTGCAGTGAGCTATGATGATGCCACTGCACTCTAGCTGGGGCAACAGAGCGAGACTCTATTTTTAAAAAAAAAAAAAAAAACACTCTCAGAAAGGTGGGGGTAGGAGTTGGACAAATCACATTAATCAATTTCTAGAGTTCTCTCTCTTATCTCCAAGAAAAAGTGTGTAATTTATTCCTTTACATTCCTTTTCCTCAGCTACATATCAAAAACCCTTCAGCTTGACTATGAAAATTAGATTAAGTGACCCCTAATGCAGCTCACCTTTCTAAAATTCCATATACTTGAGGCTAGAGGGAAGAATACAAAGCATAGGAAAAAAAATATAACAAGACAAAAATAAAGATTTTTAAAAGTCAAAATGATAGTGAAAGCCCTTTGTGAGAGACCTTTAAGTATTTATCTGTAATGGATATTTTTGAAAAGAATGATCAACATTTTAGTCTGATAGCCTTTGCTTATTGTAAGGGCTACATTTAAAAAGAGAGCAGTGGACCAAATTACCACCATACCTGACCTCCAAAACAAGGACCATATAAGCATCTTCTAAAATATACTGTGACCATGGCAATTTACTCAACATTTTTGGGCTTACGATTTTTCATCTGTCAGTAAGAGAACCAAGCAAAATGATGGACTGTACTGACTTTTAATACCATATTGAATCATGACGTGGTTGCTATGGGAAACTATGGCCTAATTTACAACATGACTTACTATCAGCTGATATTAGAGCATTTAAGAATTTCTGATATACATACACGTACATTAGAGCTCAATCTTTACAACAAGATGTTGTTGTTAACGCTGGGTATATTTTTTAAAAAATTCAAAAAAATATCTGATTCTTTGATAATACATTTGTCTTTTATTTCTAACTCTAATTGTCTTAAATGAGTTAGGTTTCATTCACTGCATTATAAAAAGGTTTCATTTAAGAACAAAATCACCAACCAAATAAAATGTTGCATTTGTAAATGTGAGAGCTAAGAAAAATTCTTACCAAAACCAGGTTAATAGGATTAGTACTTATGAAATCAAGCCTAAGCACCACAAACCTTGATCTTCAATGGAAAGCTGATGACTTTCAGAAGAAAAACAAAAAATTCAGCTTTGACTATTTTTGCTAATTATACTGCAGTGCTCCTAAAAACAAATTTACTAACTCCTTCCTTGATGCATAAATATAAAAAGTACTAGATAACAAGAGCCAAGTTACTAATCAAACTTGCCAATCAATCTCAAATTGATTACTTACATTATTAACCAAAGTATCCTCCATCTTTGCATTATTAGTAGCCACAGTGTTAGGCAGAGAAGAAGAAGGTGTAGTATAGTCTGTTACAGACTCCTGTGTAGTGACAGAAAAAAATACGTTTTAAGCTGAATTAACGGATTACTCTCTAATGATAACCTAACAGTTGTAAAGTTGTTCCGGGAAGAAAGCAAGAGGAGATCTTACAACTCGACTCACTCAAACCTTACTTGATCAACAGTGGGGCAATACAGCATGCACCCATCATCAAAATGACACATTTCAACTACCGCTGAACTCCTGTACATTGTTAAAAATGCATTGCATAGTACTAGGAGGTTGTCAACAGAACCAAACATTTATTTCTTTGGGTTATTAAAAGAACTTTTTATGTGTTTCCCATACTTACTCTATAGCTTACAAACAACTACTGATTGTTTATCTTCAAAATAAAATAATGTAGATAAGCAAATATCAAGATCTTACATAATAATCAATTAGATTTTAGGATACACTCCTTGTTTACTGTCATAAATTTTTTAAATATGGTAGAGTTGGATCATATGAGTTATTACTTACGTGAATTCAGTTGTATGGCAAAAATTAAAAACAGAAAAATATTCAAATAATATGAAAGATTACATCCACCTTTCTTCTTAGCGAGTATATGTCACAGAGTCGACATGAGATCGCAAACATAAATTTGCTGTTCCCCCAAGCATCAGTTCCCATAGTCATTCAGCATATCTTGCCTTAATGAGTACTTTTAGAGATATGTGTTTCATTCAATGTTGCTCCTAAAGGCAAAGTCAATATCCTCTAATGCTCCACCAAAGAGTGATCTGTTCCAACCATGAACGAAAACTGGCTATACTGGAGTTCCTAAAAGTCTGCCTTACTTTCTGATTTTAGAATCTCACCAGTGGGAAAGATAAGGCTCTACTGTAATTGTATTAACATACTAAACGTAAAACAGAGCCATCTTTGGAAGCCTACAAACCCAGTGAAAAGTATTCCAATTTTGTGCAGACATTTTTCACTTGAAGCTACTCAAACAGTCCAGAATTAAAAGTAGAAGAAATTTCCACAAAAAGAAATATAATTTACTATAAAGAATTTCTTTGGATCACACATGCACTCAATGAAATAAAATCTTCTCTGTAGAAATAAGAACCCAAATAGTCTATGGAATTGTATGACTCAGTCAAAAGGAAAAAAAAAAAAATTTAAAAGTATACTGTTGCTGTTCTTCCTATGGTTTACACCTATTGGACTGGTAATCGCTGCATGCTGCTCACCTTTGCGTTAGTGCCATATTCTGCAGATGATACCGAGATCATTGTTCCTATCTCAGTAGACATTTCTGAGACTGATTTGGTTTCCTTTGTTGTGACAGTATCTGTGCTTCTGACCATAGCAGGGCTTGGCTTCTCTTGTCCTTCTGGCTCCACCTGTTGGGCATCTTTCACTTTTCTATTTTTTAATGAACGTTCCTTTCCAATGGGACCAGGTTTATGTTCTTTGTTTTCTACTGGACTCAAATCTGGAAGCTAAAGTCAAATGCTTATGACAAAAATGTATCATGATCAAAGACACTCATTAAAAACTAAATTCAATTTTAAAATGATTATTTGCTCTTTATAAGAGTCAGCGGCTTCCATAAATTATGTAAGGATTATAAATTATATTTACCTTCTGGGCTTTGATAGGTCCTGCCCGTGGCTGCTTCTGCCGTTGTTCTTTAGGTTCAGGTATTTTATCAGCAGACTTTTCCGAAAGCACAGGAACAACATCATTTTCATTCCCATTCGATGCTGGAGCACCAAACTGAATTGTGTCAATTCCAATCTCAACTCCACTTTCCTGACCATTCTTTGTTCCCTAGTAAAAGAATATTTAAAAACTTGCTATCAAAGCAAACAGTTCAGATCTGACTAAATGATTTATGTAGCACCATATAGTTTTAAAAGTATATTAGAAGGTTTAAAGCAATCTACACAGTAACTGAGATTAACTGACATTGATTATATTTTAGAACTTTCCCTTAGCCACTTTTGATCTGTACTAGAAAACAACTGATAAAATGAAAACTAAGCCAAGACTTAAGTTTTTTAAGTCCTGGTTCTTATGAATGTGATCATGGGCAAATTACAGCCTTGAGTTGTTTCGTCATTTAAAACAAATGTAAAAGCAACAAAAAGATGAATGAATGGGAAAGAAAGATAGCAATACCAGCGTCACCTACTTCTCGGAAGTCTGCTTTAAAAATAAAATGAAAAATTATACGTTACTTTGTGATTGGTAACATAGGGTACAATCATTCCACCAATTAAACAGCTAGTTTACTGAATGCTTTCATTGTGCTAGGCAGAGGCTAGCAATCAATGTAGCTTGCAGAACTTGCATTCTAGTGGGTAGAGAAAATAAAGAACTGAAAAGTCAGATAAGACATGCAAAAATCAAAATAGGGTTAAAAGATTAGCCAGTTTAGACCGGTAGACAGAGAAACCCTCTGGGAGGACACACTGACACTAAACCTGAAAGATCCACGGAAAGTGTTTCAGGAGGAGCAAATACCTAATGTAAAGGTCAAAAACAAAAAAGGTCACCGAGGCTTAAGGACAGCAGGTATGGGGAACAGTAGTAGAAGACAGACAAGCAGGAGGTTACACTTAGGGCTTGGTTGTAACAACTACTTAATCTTTTCACGGCAAAATAAAACTAGGGACAAAGTTCAACTATAGGCTTTGGTCTAATAATTGAATCACTACTTCAAATCAGTTTTGGCATTCCTAAACTGAACGTGGTTAATTGCTGCTTAAGTTTAACATTATATCTATCAGGGTAATAATGTCAACAGTATGAACAAGGTATGTAATTCAGATTTATTTTTAATATCTAAATATTCACTATCAAGTAGTCATGTGCTACATAATGACAACGTTTTGTCAATGACAGACCCCATATATAAAGGTAGTCCTATAAGATAATACTGTATTTTTACTATGCCTTTTCTGTTTATATATGGTTAGATATACATATGTCATAGTGTTACAACTGCCTATAGTATTCAGTACCGTAACATTGTGTACAGCTTAGGAGCAAGACCTAGGTATGTAGCAAGCTGTACCATTTAGGCTTGTTTAAGTACATTCTATTGTGTTCACACAATGACCTATTTTCCAGCATGTATGAACACTGTTAAGTGATACATGACTGTATAGGCAAATATTAGTAATGTAAATTAGAATAAAATTTTCCATTTGCTTTAGTCAACGTTGAAATCCCATAGTCAGTTAAGTATAAATGTACAGTTAGTATTAATATTAGAAGAGCAAAATGATGCAGCAATTTATGACCATGAAGGCTATTATATGTACAAAAATATGAAGAAGCTGTACATAGTTACTGAATAGGAAAACAGACCAACAGTTAATATGACTACTAGAGATTGTTAGTTTTAAGAATATATCCTTTGAAACAAAAAATGTTTATAAAAATGATAATAAGACAGTATTATAATACCAATCTTTGTAAGGCTAGCTGGTATAAGTAGCATTAATGGCTTTAAATAAAATAATCATTAAGAACTTTCATTAGAGTCATCCAAGAAAAAGTCCCAGTAGGGAATTCAATCCATCCTGTGAAATGTCAACTTTGCTGATTCAAAATTTCACCATGCAGAAAACTCCAAAATCATCTACAACAAGCACTCACACACACACAAAAAATCACCTTCTAGCCAGAAAATGTAAAGAACATAAAGAGGTTGAAGAAAAAAGTTTGAGAGGAAAATGAGATACCACCAAAATACCTTGCTCCACCAATGAGTGAAAAATCTCGATTATATTGCCATCTATTGCCCCACTTTTCTCTGTATTCCTTTATAGCAAAACTACACTAATGCTCTCTATACATTACAGTCAGTGCTCCATATTTGTGAGTTCGTCATCTGAGGATTTAACCAAATGTGGATCAAAAGTATTTGGGGAAAAAAATGGATAGCTGTGTCATTACTGCATATTTACAGACCTTTCCCCTTGTCGTTGCTATCTAAACAGTACCGTATAGCAGCCATTTGCATTGTATTAGGTGTTATAAGTAATCCAAAAATGATTTAAAGTATATAGCAAGAGTATAAATACTGTGTCATTTTATATAAGGGACTCGAGCATCCCTGGAGGTTTCTTTCTTTCTTTCTTTTTTTTTTTTGAGACAGAGTCTTGCTCTATTACCCAGGCTACAGTACCATGGTGTCAGCCTAGCTCACAGCAACTTCAAACTCCTGGGCTCAAGCGATCCTCCTGCCTCAGCCTCCTGAGTAGTTGGGACTATAGGCGCATGACATCATGCCTGGCTAATTTTTTCCCCTATTTTTAGTAGAGATGGGATCTCACTCTTGCGCAGGCTGGTCTGGAACTCCTGAGCTCAAGCGATCCCCCCGCCCCCCTTGGCCTCCCAGAGCGCTATGATTACACGTGCTATGATTACAGGCATAAGCCACCACATCCGGCCCCTGGAGTTTTGTTGTCGTTGTTGTTAAATCTCTGTGGTGGGTTGGTGGGGTAGCAGTGGTGTCCCTGGAACCAATCTCTCACGGATATGGACATGGAGGGATGACTGACAGTACTCATTTTTCCTCTCTTTTTATCTTAAATTCACTCAGGGTTCATACCTACTACTCTACTAACACTGTTCTTACCAGAGTCATCAGTAACCTCCATGTTGTTAACTCCACCTGTCAGTTCAGTGCCTATGTTACTTGACTTACCACCAGCATCTGTCAAACTTAATTAATCCCCTTTTCTTTGAACTTTTGTTCATGTGCCTTTTTGGACACTTCTCCAATCATTTACCTCCTCCATCTCCCACATTTCCCAGAGTTGGAAAGCCACATGACTTAATTTTTGATGCTCTTTTCTAATTACTCTCCTAACTCATTCACCCTTGGTAACTTCATCCAACCATCTATATGCTAATGAGTTTCAGATTCATATCCTCAAAATCTGGATTATGCCTTCTAAACTACACACTTTTATATCCAACTATCTACTTGACATTTGTATTCAGATGTGTAATAAACATCTTATATATAATCATCTTAAACATAACATCTAAAATATATCAAAACCAAACTCATCTTCTCCCCAATCCTGATCCATTTATAGCTTCCCAATCTCAATTGGTGGGAATTCTATCCTTCCTATTGCTCAATTCAAAAACTTGGAGCTAATTTTGACTCCTCAGTTTTTTCTCACTCTTGTCAGCTAACCATTTCTTATGACCTTTAATGTCACTTCCCTGGTTTAAGTTAGCACGATTTGAGCACAGCAATAGCATCTTAAATTCTACTATTGCCCTCCACAGACTATTTTTAACAGACCACCCAGAATAATTTTAAAGTCAGATCCCATCACTCCTTTGCTTGAAACCTTCTAATGCCTTACTACCTCTTCCAAAGGACCTACAGTCTCTGCCCTATATTACCTCTTCAACTTCACATGTGCCCCTCTGAAATTCCTTAAACGCACTAGGGATCCTCCTATCTCCTGGCTTTTGCATTTGCTTTTCTCTGAACCTGATGGGAAGAGCATGCTCTCATATTTATTTCAAGTCTTTAACTCAAATGTCATCTAAGTAGGTTTTCCTGGCCATCCTATTTTAAACTGCCTCCACATCACTTAGAACATTCTGTATATAGCTTCCTTGCTTTGCTTTGTTCCTCAGCACTAATCACCATTAAACATACTAGTTGTTCTTTATTGTTGGTTTCAACTCACGTTACAAAGGAAGCCCCATGAGGGCAGGGCTTTTTATCTGTACTTAGTCCTGGTTTTGTAAGCCCACAGGTTAGAATACTATTTCAAGGGCTTAATGAATGTTCAATGAATGAATGAATCAATGAACAAAGAATCACTGACCTAATTAGTCATTTACTAATACTGCAACATGTTTGAGATATTATGTTGAAAAAGCAACTTCCTGTGAACAATTTCAAAGTAACTATACTATCTAATCATTCAACCTAGAAACATGCGAGAAAAGTTCAGAAAACAGTAACTATACTTATATTTTCTGTAACTTGAAGCCTTTTCTTGAGACTACAATGAGAACAAATGTTTAACCTTAATATATCTAAAAGTGAGAAGCAGCTTATAAATGTAAAGGTGTAGCAGCAATAGCATCACTTGGGAACTTTTTAGAAATGTACTCAGACCTCAATCCAGACCTAATAAATGACACACTCTGGGCATGGGGCTCAGTAACCTGTTTTAATTGCCCTTCAGGTAAGTCTGAGGCACACTAAAGTTTTAAAAAAAAACCTGCCACACTAATCCCCACAATGTCATTTAAAGTGTCTTCCTACCTCTGATGAAGCAGCCGATCCGAATGATGTTAAGGGCTTATTCCACGCACTGACTGCAGGTGGCTGTGGTGGACTAATGGGACCTACTGAAGAAAAGAAGTCATAGGAAACGTGACAATTAAAATTTGGAGCCTAATAATCTCTATGCCATTTAGTCCTTTCTCTTAATCTCTTATTGTCTGGCTAACGATAGCCAGAAAATTAAACCATTTTCCCATTACACTTACAGAGATTCTTACGTACCAAAATACAGGCCTACCTTAGAAATACTGTGGGTTGCAGACAGCCATTATAAAGCAAGTCACACAAATTTTCTGGCTTCCCAGTGCATATAATATGTTTATACTATCCAGTAGTCTACTAAGTCTTAACAAATGTGCATACCTCAGTTTAAAGATACTTTATTGCTTAAAAAGCTAACAATTATTTGAGCCTTCAGTGAATAACTATCATTTTGCTGGTAGAGGGTCTTGCCTTGCTGTTGATGGCTGCTGACTGACAGGGGGGTAGTTGTGGCAACTTCTTAAAATAAGACAACAGGGTTTGCGGCATCAATTGAGTCTTCCCGTCACAGAAGATTTCTCTGTAGCATGTGATGTTATTTGATAATTTCTTTCAAAATTAGAGTCAATCCTCTCAAAATATGCCACTGCTTTATCAACTAAGTTTATATATTCTGAGTCCTTTGCCTTTATTTCAACAGTATTCACAGCATCTCCACCTGGAGTAGACTCCAGCTCAAGAAACCACCTTCTTTGCTCATCCGTAAGAAGTAACTTATCTGTTCAAATTTTATCACAAGATTATAGCAAATGAGTCATTTTCTGGCTCCACTTCTAATCTGAGATCTTTTGCTATTTCTACTACATCTGAAGTGACTTCCTCCACTGAAGTTATCCATGATGGTTGGAATCAACTTCTTCTAAACTCTTGTTAGTTGATATTTTGACCTCCTTCCGTGAATAAAAAATGTTCTTAATGGCATCTAGAATGATGAATCCTTTCCAGAAGATTGTCAATTGACTTTGTCTAGATGCGCCAGAGGAATCACCATCTATGGTGGCTATAGTTTTATGAAATGTATCTCTTAAACAGTAAGACTTGAAAGTCAAAATGACTCCTTGATCCACAAGCTGCAAAACGGATGTGTGTCAGCAGGCATGAAAACAACATTCATCTCCTTGTACCTCTCCATCGCAGCTCTTTGGTGACCAGGTGCATTGTCAATGAGCAGTAATATTTTGCAAGGAATCTTCTTTCCTGAGCAGTAGGTTTCAACGTTGGGTTTAAAAGATTCAGTAAATGATGCTATCAACGGATGCGGTGTCATCCAGGCTTTGCTGTTCTATTTCTACAGCACAGGCAGAGTAGATTTAGCATAATTCTTAGGGGCCCTAGGATTTTCAGCGTGGTAAATGAGCACTGGTTTTAAAGCCACCAGCTGCATTATCCCCTAACAAGAGAGTCTGCCTCTCCTTTGAAGCTTTGGAGCCAGGAATTAATGTCTTCTCTCTAGCCATTAAAGGGCTAGATGATTATCTTCTTCCAATAGAAAAGGCTGTTTCATTTACATTGAAAATTTCTTGTTTAGTGTGGCCCCTTTCATTAATGATAGCTAGACCTTCTTGGTAACTTGCTACAGTTTCTACATCAGCACTTGCTTCTTTACCTTGTACTTTTAAGTTATGGCTTCTTTCCTTAAACTTCACGAACCAACCTCTGCTGGCTTCGAACATTTCTTCTGCAGCTTCCTCACATCTCTCAGTCTTCACAGAATTAAAAAGAGTTAGGGCCTTGCTCTGGATTAGGCTTTGGCTTTCAGGAATTTTGTGGCTGGTTTGATCTCTCCAGACCACTAAACCTTTCCCCATTAACAGCAATAAGGCTGTTTTTGTTTTCTTAACATTCTTATGTTCACTGCAGTAGCAATTTTAATTTCCTTCAAGAACGTTCCCTTTGCATTCACAGCTTGCCTAACTGTTTGGCACAAGTGGTCCAGCTTTTGGCCTATCTCATCTTCTGCCATGCCTTCCTCAATAAGCTAAATCATTTCCAGCTTTTAACTGAAACTGAGAGACATGTGACTTTCCCTTTCACTCCAAAATAGAAGCCATTGCAGGGTTATTAATTGGTAAAATTTCAATACTGTTGTGTCTCAGAGAATAGGGAGGCTTGAGGAAAAGGAGAGAGAGATGGGAGAACAGCTAGTTGGTGGAGCAGTTGGACCACACACAACATTTATCAATTAAGTTTGCCATCTCATCTGGAAGCAGTTCATGGTGCCCCAAAACAATTATAATAGTAACCTTGAAGATCACCGATCAGAGATCACCATGACAGATAGAATAATAATGCAAAAGTCTGAAATATTGCCAGAATTACCAAAATGTGACAGGACACAAAGTGAGTACATGCTACTGGAAAAATGACACCAACAGACTTGCTCAACACATGGTTGCCACAAATCTCCAGTTTGTAAAAATGTAACACCTGCAAAGTACAATAAAATGAGGTATGCCAGCGTAAGTTCCCCCAAATGTTGCAAGCTATTTTAGATACCAAGATTTTAAGAAAAGAAGCTAAGAAAGGACTACTATTACTTTTTCCTGTGAAGAAAAAAATGAGATGGCTAGAAAACACTGAGTATGTAGACAGAATTGAAAACAAATCCCAGCATTCCTATGGCATTCCCCATCCCTCACTTCTCCACTGCACACTTACATTTCTTAGAGATGTCATTCAGTACAGCAGTTGGGGCCACCTTGTTATCCCATAATTCGGTTGTCAGAGTACCATGTGACTGTGGGTTCTGAATGGATTTTCCTGGGGCCACATAATCTGTGCCATTAGGTGTCTGAGCTGAAGGTAGCCTGATTGAAGGTGGTGGCTGTTTTGAAGACTGTGTTGTAGTCTGCAGTGGATTCTGGACTGGCTTGTGGGTCTGTGCCTGAGTCTGGGCTGGAACAGTCGGAGCCGGAGTTGGGGTGGGGGCAGGGGCTGGGGCTGAGGCTGGGGCAAGAGGGACTGAGGCAGTTGGGGCTGAGGCTGGGGCAGCTGGGGCTGAGATGACGGGGGCAGCTGGGACTGAGACTGCTGGGGCTGGAGTTGGAGCTGAAGTCGGCGCTAGGGCTGAAGCAAGGATGGGAATTGAGGCTGAGGCAAGAATGGGGACAGAGGCTGGGGTAGAAACTGAGGCAAGGATAGGGGTTGGAGCTGGGACTAAGGCTGGAGCTGAAGAAGAGGCTGTGGCTGTAGCTGAAGTGGAGGCTGGAGCTGGAGCTGAGGTTGCGGCTGAAATTGGAGCTAGGGTTGAGGGTGGAACTGGAGCTGAGGCTGAGGCTGGAGCTGGTACTGAAGCTGAGGCTAGAACTGGAGCTGAGGCTAAGGCTGGGACCGGAGCTGAGGTCGAGGCTGGACCTGGGGCTGAGGATGACGGTGGAACTGGAACTGAGGCTAGAGTTGGAACTGAGGCTAAAGACTGTGCTTGCTGCGTCCCTGTAGCCTGTTTTTTGGCAAATCTTGGAGGAAGCTTAGAAGTCTGACTTCTTCCTTTTTCATTTGCATTTTTTTTGTTCCAGACCTTAAAAAATTAGTAGAAATCATTTTCATCAATAATGCAGCTGACAGTTTATGAATGCAATTTGTCACAAAACTACCTACTACAAATTTAGCTCCTTCACTTTCCAAAGTAGGTACTCATAGAGCAAAAATGTCATGGTTGCTACACAGATTTTAAATTGTGAGAAGCCAAGATGATATAGAGAAAAAAGACATGTATACATTATGCATTGTTAATATACAGGTCTACAATTTCTTTTCCACAATTTTGAAATTTGAAAACTAAGGAAGTTTGCGGTAAATTCATTTGGCAGCAAAACTTTGCCTGAGCTGACAAAAGACTACTTATTGTCTTCACTCAACTCATGTTTGCCACAGAGACATTTATTTGGAGAGTGTGGCTGGTGTGTCATGCTACAGAGGGTGTATGTATTACTATTTTACCTTTCTTAAATAAATAAATAACTTATGAAAATATCTGGTTCCAGGGCTATATTCAATTAAACTCAATAACTTATCTCGCTTCATATTAAGCGAACTAATTTGGTTACAAACGAAATTTCTATAGGCCAATAATATGCAATCTATTGGTTCATGGCATTTGAGTTCATTAGATTTCCAAGACAATTTAAAAATCAACTCAACTCTGCCACGCGGCAGATAAGGTAAACCGGCGCTAACACATACAATATGTTGCTAAAGTGAACAGGGTCTGCTCTAAGGTACACAATGAGCTACAGTGATCATATTCTATTTAAAATGTACCTGAATTCTGGTTAAATCAATTAAAAGTTATGAAGATCAAGTCAGCCTCAACACTTGAGGGTGTTTTATTAAAATATGGCCTTGACTTTACAAGTAGAGAGAAACCTTGACCATCTGCTAACATACTCTGGCAACTACCTAAGTAACAAGCAACAAACTGGAGCAAGCTTTAAACCTGTATGACTTGTTCCTCCTTCTTTCGACGTTCCTCATCCTGTAAACGTTTTTGTTGTTTTTTGGATACCACTTCAGTAAAACCGTCATCATTCAAATTTGACTGGGGGTCTTCTACTACTGTTACTTCAGGATGATCATCAATTATAACAACACCTGTGGGTAAGGAAAAAGATTTAAAATGGTATTTTCTTTATCTTTAGTCCTGGAGTGCTTTGAAAAGAAAACAGCGAAAAGCCAAAGACTTAGTTCTTATAACTTACAGTATAACACACTTCCCACCCTATATGCAGCCATTCACTGGTAAGATTTAACAAAATTTCACAAATATATGAAAAGATTTCATAAATAAGATTAAAAACAAAAGTCCTAAATCTATCTGTTTGGAATGACATAGGTCTTTTTTCTCTTGTAGGCAACATAAAGGTAATGATTAAAAAAAAAAAAAAATTAAAATTATCCTGTGACTTAAATTGTGCCCTTCAGCCTCTGATCTGTACAGTGCTTTAAAGACCTACAATGCACTTTACCTTTTTTGTATCTAGCCATTCTAGGAGGTGAGTATTACTATAATTTCCCTTGTTCAAAAAATGAAATAGGCTCTGAGAAGCTGATTTGTCAAAGGTTAAGGCGACCAGCATAGCTGGTCTTATGACTCTTACTGTCACTATTTTATGCAGACCCTTGTCTACAATGTGTAGTCTTCAAAAAAAAATGAAATATACATGAAAGTTCCATGTAAATGCAAAGTGGCACAGATGAACACACATCAGAATCAACTAGCTGATGAATAACTCAACATCAATTTTCAACTTTTGTCCTACTGACCATTATTTTGGCTATCTTAAAATTATATTATATCCCAGTGAATATAAGAAATCTAAATACATTAAATAATATTTCAAAGAAAATTTAATTAATTCAGGAGATGAGATTTTTGTTTGTAAGTGTGACACCGGCACAATAAAAATAAATATCAAGAAAGAGTAGGGCAATTCAACCAAACTAATTTTTCAAACAATATATAATATGTTCTTATTTGGGTATACACATAAAATAAAAATAGATATTTTTCTTAGGACAAATAAGTATACAGCACAGGATGGTGACAACCTGTGAGGGATGGCAAGAATATATAATCAGGAAGGGGTGTGCAGGGAAAACTTTTTACAAACAATTCTTTTTAAATAGTTAAAAACTAGCATTTATGTAAAGACTGAGAAAGAAAATGAAAAATGAATGCTAAGACTTTTGCTCTTTAGAAATTAATTACTGTTATTCTACAGTAATTGCTAAATTAATTAAAAATTAATTAAAAAGAAAAAATTGATTCTGATTTATCTAAGAAACTTCTACTTGTGTTTTAAATCCTTTAAAAAATTAACTGTAAAATGGAGCACGTGCTCATTTCAATGAAAGGTCTTAATCAAACATTTCAAAAATATCATGCATGCATTATTTCAGACTGGTGAAGAGATCTCATCATAATTCCAAAATCATCTCAGTTTCCACTTACACTAAAATGTGTGTGTATAAAACCTGTCTTCACAGCTATGCCATAGGTCATTTTAACTTCCTTAGTTCACTCAACTACATAGAGCAATTACGGCAATTTGAACAGTACTTTCAGTTTGTTTCTAATATTCTGTTCTTATTTGGTACTTTTTAACACTTTAGCCTAAAGAGATATCATTTAACCAATATTA